AACTTGTGGGACATGTATGAGATGCTGGGGACACAGTTATGAATCAGTCACAGTCACAAGGTCCCTGCCTTCAAGCAGCTCTCAGACTAGTGTGGAGAGACAGGTTACTAAAGATACTTCTACTTTGCTGGCTAAAAGCTGTTAGTGAGGCTTATGAGGGCACAGAGGAAGAACACCAGACCCAGACCCAGCAATGGAGGCAGGCGGAGGGGGAGACGTTGTTCAAGGAAGGCTGCCTAGAACAATAGTCTACCGGCAGCTGGTCCTGACCCTTGAGGGGGTTGTGAAATCAATTTAGTGTATAGCAACCAGCATTCTTAAAAACATCACAGTACATTGCATATACAAAGATAAATATGTGCACGCACGCTGTGGACCAAAATTTTGTTAAGCTATAGTTAAGAAGAGTAAGTTGCCTGCCCTGATTCCCAAAGTCTGGCACTTTGTAGGTGTTCAAAGACTTTTTGATGTATGGAAGGATGAATTTAAGTTCTCACAGCACTCCAGCAAGGCAGGTACCATCCTCCCCAGTCATGAAAGTCATTCTCTATAACCCAAGTTCAGCAAACCCAGGTTTGTCAAGCATGTTTGTAGTTTATCAACTGGCAGTCTGGGAATTTCCAGTCAGGCCTCAAGCAAGCTTCTCTGACTGGGGAAAATACATCATAAGGAGATAGGAAGGAGCTGAGGTGGTGCAGAGAGGCCCAGAGGTGAACCAAAGGCGATTTTTCTGCTGGTGGCCCAGCCCATGACCTTCTATAAAATAAGGGCCCCCAGCTCTAACCCAGCCAAGTGGCATGTGTTTCTAATAGTAGTGGTTGAAGTTGCTGTGTTTACCCTTGGATGGTCTCAGTCACTCACCTCAGGCCCACAGGACCAGCAGCCCATATCTTCAGGAGGCCAACAGGAAACACTGTTTATGGGGGCAGATCAAAATGTGGGGGAGAAAGGGCCCTGGGGAAGTAGAAGCTGGACAGAAGTCCGAATCAGTCCTCACAGGGTGAGGTGAGTCAGGAGTAATGACTAGGTGGCCACAAACAGAGACTCCCTTTTAGTGGTTTTCAGGATTCTCCAAATTTGCTCTGTCCTATAATATCAGGACCAAAATACCCTTGGCTACCTTTCTCCTCCATCATACACTCTTACTTAAGATTGGAAGGACCCTAGAAATTATCCAGTCCAACTCTCTCATTTTACAGATGAAGAGAAAGGGGCCTAGAAGCGGAAGGCACTGGTCTAAGGTCAGCCAGCAGCAGCCTGAGAGCTGGGGCTAGGACTTAGAACCCAGGTCACCTATGCCACTACTTTGGGCCCGTGGTTCTTCAGGTGACCTTCTCCCACCAGCTCACCAACTGGATCTCTTATCTAATCTTACCCTCTTTGGCCTCTTCTCTATGTGTAACCAGGAGAATCTTTCTAAAGGACAGATCAGTTACTTAAAACCTTACTTAATCAGTGCTTAAAAACTTCCCTTGCTCCCACTACCTAAGGGTGAAAAGACACACAAGATCTTTGCCATTTCTCTCACCCCTACCCATCTCTTGGGCTTCCTCTCTTGCTGTTTTTCTCCTCACATATTGTTTTTCATGCTCCTGAACTACTTGTAACTACCTAGATGTGAAATGTTCTCTCCCAATTCAAATCCTCTTGCAGTTGCTTATTCTCTCTGCATTTAATACTCTTCCCAATCCTGCTGCATTTGCCTGTTTTTCTTTAGGTTTCAGAGTACATTTTTCTTTTTCCAGGAAACCTCCCTGACCTGCTGACTTCCGGGGTTAGGTATCCCTATGTTCTCTGGTGGCAACTCTGAATTGTTATGATCCATCTTACTGTCAGTTTCTCCTGGTCCCTAAGAGAAATACAGTATAGAAAACCATGCGCTATACATTAGGAGAAAGGGAAGTGTATGGGACCCAGGCATTCTCCAGGACACATCTTAGTACTTCCATTGCCTATAGTAAGAGTCAATGAAAAACTAATCAAGCCAACTAAATAACCATAAAAGACAGGACCAGTAAGGATTCAGACTCTTCAGGAATGAAGGTTTTGGTCACCCTACTAGGTAAAAAACCAGACCAACTGAAGTGTAGGTTGAAGGCAAATGAAACAGGGGATGGATAATGGAAGAAGGAATTTGTAAATATTAACTAGAGCCCATGACCAGTTACAGAAAGAGACCTGTGGCAGTGATATGGTTTTTTCCTTGCTTGTATATGCATATCTGTATCTACGTCATCTGCCTTTCTATTTACTTATCTATAAACATTTTGTTTTGTTTTTAAAGAGATGGGGTCTTACTATGTTGCCCAAGCTAGCCTCCAACTCCTGGGCTCAAGCAATCCTCCTGGCCTCAGCCTCCCAAGTAGGTGGGATTATGGGCAGATGGCACATTTGTTTTTATTAACTCTTTTCTTTTTTTTCTCTTTCCTTCTTATTATTTTATAGAAGGATTACTGGCAGGTGCTTGTAGGTAATAGAATATTTAGGCAGGGTCATAGAGGAATAACCTTATTCAAAGATGGATGCAATTTTTGTTGGGGCTCCCTTCTCCCTGTCTTTTTGGGAAAGAAGTGAGAGTGCCTTGTTTTAACATGAAAGATAGTTACAACTTGTTATACAAAAAGGGCTTACATTTGTTAATGTTGTAGGGAAGTTTTGACATCTTAGGAGACTGCAGCGGATGCTGAGCAACAGAAGGGGTGGACTGGGCTAGTTAAAAGTTCCTGACTTGCAACCCAAACCCACCCTTCTGTGTTCTGCTTTGCAGTGCTGGGACTGGGACTACCTAAACGACACTTCTGTTTGCCAGTGGGCTCCCTGTTAGGGGCTGCAAGGCAGATGGAGATGGAAGAGACAAAATCCTGTCTGTTTTCTTGTTCATGCCAGTGTTGCATCAGCAAGGCATTTCACTTCCAGCTTCCAGGTTTTTCCTACACACCTAGGGCCAGCTTCATTGCTCTCTTCAGAGCTCAGCAGGACAGCACCCTCTCCTGGAGATCTGGTCCCAGCTTGCAGGACCCCTTCTCTGATCTCCTAGGAGCCAGGCCCAGCTGGACAGCACCTTTCCTCAGAGGTCTGGTTACAGCTCCTAAGGGGCCCTCCATTGACCTTCTTAGTTTTCATCACCCAACCTCTTGCTATTTTCCCCAGTCCTTGAGATGGTGGCTGCTTCCTGCAGTTACTGTCTCTGCTACCTCAGTGCCCTCTGCTTTTTCAGTTCTCCAGTAGCCATTGAACTGATTTCTAATATTAATTTATTTGTTTTTCCGACTGGATCATTACTGATACAAGTATAGACAAGACAGAGTCCCATCTCACATGGATCTTACAGTCTAGTGAGAGAGATGGACATGTAGCCAACAATTACAAAAATGAGTATTTAATTACATTGAAATAAGTGCCACAAAGGAAAAATACAAGGTATATTAGCACATTAAAGTCTCCAAGAAGCCCTGCAGTAAATAAACCTGGTTAGCACCATTTAATGCAACTTTCCCTTAGTGTATTTGACCAAGGAACTTAATGGTAAGCCTATTAACATCCAGTCATATGAGTGTTCTACAGAGTTGTGCACTGTGTTCATGGAAAAAGAGAAGTCATTAAGAAATGTGCTGGGAGCTTGTCTCGTGCCTGTAGCTGCAGCTACTCAGGAGACTCAAGTGGGAGAATGTTTTGAGCCTCAGATTTCAAGACCAGTCTGGGAAGCAGAGAGACCTTGTCTCTTAAAAAGAAAACTAAATACAAAAATAAATAAATGTGAGCCAGAGGACTTGGAGTGTGAGCACTTGCTATGTCCTTCCAGCAGCACCCAGTGGGCTGGGGTATCTCAGCACTAGGATTCCAGCCACAGTCGCCCTGAGGCAACTTTCTTAGAGGCATCACTGACTTACCGAGCAAATTTTCCTAAAGGAAGAGGATACCCTCACCCTCCAGTCCAGGCATTTTGGTCTACCAGGAAGTTTCTTTCTATTATAGAGCAAGGTTTCTTGACCTGGGTCTTTCAGGGGACCATCAATCCCTTAAGATTATGTGCAAAATGTGTGTGTGCTTGTATGTGTGCATGCATGGACATTTTTCCAGCAAGAGGATCCATAGCTTTTGTTATTCCTAGTGGGAATGTGACTCCAGAAAAGGGTAAGTTTAAGAATCACTGCATTAAAAGAAGATGTTCCTGTTCTTATTTGCATATTGGTCTCTTGTGAGTTTGGTCACTGTACATTGGTTCTTCTCAGTCTGATCAGCCTGGTGCTGACTCACCAAACTGAAGTTCTGGACCCTCCAAGATATTTTTCTGGCTAAAGGGACAACCAGACTTCTTGGACCACATAGTATTGCTCCCCTCTATGCCTTTGCCTGTGCTGTTTCCTCTGGCTGGAAAACCCTCTCTCCATACCTTGTGGTCAACTTCCAAGTATTCTTCAGGTCTCAGTTTAGATATCACTTCCTTCTTGAAAGCTTCTCTGACTTAGCAATTCTGGATTAAGTACCCCTTCTTAATATTACCACAACAGTACTCCCATTTCTTTGGACCCCTCTTTGCTCTCTTCTCCAGGACCATGATTTCCCTTTCATGGTGCTTGTTCCATGATGTGATCAACTATTTCTAGTACTTGTCTGCTACCTGTTAGACTATAAGCTCCATGAGGAAGGGAGTCCATGTCCACCTTTGCTCTGTCTTTCCTCCAGCATCAAGCAGAGCATCTAGCATATAGTAGGTGTTCATTAAATACTAGTTAAAGAAATGCATGCAAAAATAAGTATTTCAATCCTTTCAGTGCTACATGTATGTGCTGTTACAGTTAGACCACAAATGCCCTTTAACTCACCCTAGGACTATGTGCAGACTTGCCAGCAATGAGAAGGACAAAGTGAAACATTCAGATAATCAATTTTTGTCTTTTATGCTTCTTTTTCACCAAATGCACACGTATGCAGATTTATACACAAGCCTATATGTGGATGAAGAGGAAACATGCTGCAGAGTATCAGAATAAACCTACCAGCATTTCTCAGAAAGCGGTTCTTGTAGTCCTTGATTATCCTTGTGGTCGGGTTATAGAAGCCATCTCCACAATCATAATAGCCCTTAGGGATTTTTCTAGGCGGGTCCATATTGGTGAGTTGAGAGATACCTTGAAAGCACATAATGAACAATTAGTTCACCATCAAGGCCAAATCTAAATCCAGTGCCCCATAAGATCCACTTTTGGCTGGTTACTCATATGACTTTCAGCTCCACTGTTTAGCTAAACACCCCCTTTTCATGGCAAGGAGCAAAACCAGCAGGAGCAGTACCCCAAAGGAGCTCTCTGAAAATGACTCTGTAAGCAGGGTCTTAGGAAATAGACTCCCTGTCTTCTTCCCTTGACCTCATCCTCCTCTATTTCTTGGGATGCCATGACAAAGGGCACAGGTTCTGGAGTCAGAGAGACGCTGAGAGTAAGTCAGAGTTGGCCAGCTGAACAGAGAACCGGTCCAGGAGAGGGACAGCATTGAAAGGGTAACCAAAGGTCAGAGACATAAACCCTCAGGTCTCATTCAGGAAAGTGTATAGAGTAGAGCACATATGAAGGAGAACAGAAAAGAAGCTGGATGCAGGGATCTGAGGTTCAGGAAGTTGGATTTCAATATGAAAGCTGATGGTAGTTGAAGGCTTAGATTTGAACCAATTTGTTTAGGAACAGTATAGAATTACAATAGAAAAAGGCCTAAGCCAGAGAGTCCTTGGGAATCCCAACATTAATAATTGGGGAGACAAGGGGTGGGTAGTAGAGAACCTTGACTCTCACCAAAATTACCACAGTGGCTGCCATTTACTGAACGTTTATTCTGTGTCAGGCATTATGCTTTCACTATTTCCTTTAATCCTCAGAGCAACCCTGTGGCCCCATTTCACAGATAAAAAAACTGAGGCTCAGAGAGGTTAAAGTAACTGTCTCAAGATTATCCAGCTAGGAAGCAGCCTGGTTCGGAAACCTGTGTGTTCAGCTGCCAACATCAGGGGAGGAGAGGGCCTAGGTACTGGCCCAGGACAAGGGACACTGGGACCCCCAGAAGGGAAAGAGGAGTCAGTGCACCTGTTAGGTTGCTCACCCTGTGTATATCTTGGAATGCTGTGGCCCAAGAAAAGGGTGAGGTTGGAATAACTCATTTCTTAGATTCCTTCTGATTGTAGTTTCTAGAATTCCCTGTTCTATAGACTGAGAGGGGCTGCCCACTAAGCACACAGCACCATGTTTACAACTCAGTGTTCTGCACACAATGGCATTCTTGATTTGGATAATGATACGTCTAACTCTGGCCCTGATGCTGACCCTGATCCTGACCTTAACCCTAACCCATGGATATTGACTAATGATTACTGAGCACTTATTCCGTGCCAAGCACTTTACAGCTATTTTCTCACTGAAGCCTAAAGCCAGTACTTATCTCACGGATGTTCAGAGAGGTCATGTGACACTCTCAAGCATCACCCTGCCTTGCAGGCAGAAGCTCCAACAATGCCTGCCCCAAGAGGCAAAGTGTGAAGTGACAAGGGAAGGATGTGGCTACTGAGGATAAAGCTGTTCTGCCCAGGGTTGCTGGAGGAGAAGCCCAGGGCCAGGCAGGTTCAGGAAAGGTCACCTCCCTGCCTTCGAGATTGGCAGAGGCCCCACTTTGGCAAAACCAGCCACTATGTGAGAGCTGAGGCCTAAGCCTGAGGTATCTACCCACAGGCTTCAGCTGGGGTGAAGAGCCCACGACAAAGTCCAGACCCTGTTATAACTAATCCCTGAGGAGTGATTTGCAGCTAGACTGGCAGCTCTTTGAAGGAAGAGACTGTGTCCTCTCAGCTCTGAGTGTCCCAGGTGCTTAGGAAATGTTAATATCATTGTCTTAACTCCACTAAGTGCTTTCCTAAACTCACCCCTTACCCTGCACTGTAAGTCAATATTATTTCCCTATTTGACAATAACTATTGAGTACCTATCATATGCCAGGCAATGTGCTAGGGCCCTGCCCTCATGCTGTTTATGGTGGGCTTGGAAAGATGGACGCTGAATATTCAGGATCTGAGTTCTAGGGCTGCTCCGTGTTGCCACAGGGGGACCTCACCTAGTCTGGAAATTCAGGAAAGGGAGTTCCAGGAAAGGGAACATGAAGCTGAGACCTGAAAGATGGGAGGGAGAAGTGAGAGGGTTAGTGTTCCAGGCAGAGAGAGTGGCAGGAAAAAGATGGTCTCTTTGAGAAATAGAGAAAAAGTAAGCATGGCAAGAGAGGAGAGAGACAAGCCAAGATGGGTAGGTGATGAGTCTGGGGACATCAGCAGGAGCCAGAGAATGTCGGCCATTCTGACAATTTGGAGTCTTATCTTGAGGATAGTAGGAGGCACTGAAGGGTATGGGTATTCAAAGATAGAGTGACTGCAGAATGGAGAATGACCTGATGGGGTCAAGTGGGAATCTCAGGAGGTCAGGTAATCAAAGGGAGAGTTGATGGAGTGGGGCAATGACAGAGAGGATGAAGAGAACCCTGTTCAATAAGCCCAGCCCGCTTATTTAGAACTGTCCAGCACATGGAGGTGCTCAGTAAATATCTGCTGAATGAACAAATAAAGGAATATTTTTAAGAGTTAAAATCCACAGGGCCAGGTGATTGATTGCACATGGGACACAGGGAAAGAGAAGATTAGGCTTACCTAGGTGGATGGACCATGGCCATCATTGAGGCAGCCATCACTGGGGAGAGTGGGTTGGTGGGACAATAATGAATTCAGTGCAGACAAGTTGGGAGACAGCCAGTATGTGTCAAGGAAGCTGGATGCAGGAATCTGGGGCTCAGGAATTCTGATTTCAGTGTGGAAGCTGATGGTAGTTGAAGGCTTAGATGTGAACCAACTTGTTTAGGGAAAGAGTATAGAATCATCACAGAAAAAGGTTTAAGTCAAAGAGCTCTGGGGAACCCCAACATTAATAATTGGGGAGGAAGAGGAGGAGGTACTGGCAAAGGAGACAGGGGTTAGGAGCACAGTGGGAGAGTATATGTCAGGAAAGCAAAGGGAAAGAAGTTGGCCTTCCTAATCAATAAATTGACCCATGGTCACAAAGCCAGGAAGTGAAGGAGCCAGGATTTGAGCTCAGGTCTGCCAGTGCCTCCAGTGCCTAGGTGCTTTCTGGAGGTTTCTGCCCTAATGGAGGCTGATTTGTTCAGGCTTATCCGGCCATAGAGAGGGAATGCTGGGACTCAAACCCAGATCTTCCAGCTCCATGCTCTGTCAACTATAGCACATTCTCTCTCATAACTTACGTTGGGATTGTTTTCAGTTTACAGTCATTTTCCTATCTGTTGTTTTGGATATATTCTCTGTTGTGCCCCAAACTACACAGTTCACCTGACCTCACACAGTCTCAGAAATACAATGAGCCCTTTAAGCTGCCACTTTCTGAATCCTGACTCTTGGCCCAAACGTAGCCCTTTGTGATGGAACACAGTTCTTGCACAAGGGACCTCAGAGAGAAAGACTGAATCTCCAACATGAGCTCTGCTGTTGGGAAACACAACTGGACTCTGTGCCTCAACTTTCTCCTGTATGACCTAGGACTGGGAAGGCTGAGCAGGCAGGGTCATTGGACATTCAAGGGGACAGGGCTTATAGAGAGCCTTACCCAGCACTTGATATACAAGGCACATGCTCTGTCAGTGCTGCTCTTGCCCTTATCTCTTTCTTCTTTAATTATTTACAAAATCTTAGTATTACAGTAGGTACTACAAATAAGGATAGCTGACATGTACCGTGCACACATGCAAGGCACAGTTCTAAACACTTTACATTAACTATCTTCTTTACAACTTGTGAGGTAGTTGATGCGATTGTCCTCATTTTGAAGGGGAGAAACTGAGGCACAGAGGGATGAAGTTTTGCCCATGGTGCTCCAGCTGATACAGTGGAGCTGAGGTGTGAGGACTGGTCTTCCTGGCCTCAGGACCTGGCTCTGTCGTGTTCTGCTGTGCCTGCTCAGTTCCTCTTCTCCTTTGTGTTACTTCAATAGGCCACAGCCCACTTATTTAGAACTGTCTTTAGTTTCCCCCTCAGTTTGGATGTGAAGGAGAGGGCAGGTGCCTGGGTACCTGCAGGCTTCAAGCCATTGCAGATCTCAGTGTAAAACCTCCGATCATAGCTGTCACAGTAATGCCAGTTCACAGCATTGTATTGGAGCCCGTCTGCGAAGGTATATGTGCCCTGGAAGACAAAGAGTACACACATGCTTCTGAGGAAACTGAAGCCTTTGTTTCAAGAAGGTTGGGTGTCAAGGGAAGAGGTAGCTTTCTCCTTGCCACAGAAAAGAAGTGGTAACTATCACAATTACTGTGACAATTAGAAGGAATGAATATAAAGTGCTGCTCAAAGTATGCTACTTCACTGTGTGGACTTGGGCATATGACCTACTCTCTATGGCCCTTGGTTTCCTCATTTGTAGAATTAGGATAATGATGGTATATATTTAATGGGATGAATTGAAAAAGTCAATGAGATAGTGCATATAAAGCACTTAGCACAGTGCCTGACTGTGAAGATTGTGTTTATATGTCAACTTGAATGGGCTAAGGGATGCCCAGATAGCTGGTAGAACATTATTTCTGGGTGTGTCTGTGAGAGTATTTCTGGAAAAGATTAACATTTGAATCTGTAGAATGAGTAAAGAACATCTGCCCTCAACAATGTGGGCAGGCATTATCCAATCAGTTGAGGACCTGAATAAAACAAAAAGGTGAAGGAAGGGCCAATTTTCTCTCTGCTTTAGCTGGGGCATTTATCTTCTCTTGCCCTCAGACATTAGCATCACTGGTTCTAGGCCATTGGTCTCTGCCTAGGACTTACACTACTGACTCCCTGGTACTCAGGCCTTCAGGTTTGGACTGGAACTACACCAACAGCTTTCCAGTTTACAGGGGGCAGATTGTGGGACTTCCATAATCTTGTGAGCCAATCCCTCAAAATAAACCTCTTTCCATATGCCTCTGAATATCCTGTTAGTTCTGTTTCCCTGAAGAATCCTAAAACAGTGACATATAGTAAGTTCTCAATAAATGTTATTATTTTATTATTATCATAGCTAGAAAGATCAGAACCACCAGCCAGAGCCCTTTGTCCAAACACATACATTCTGCTTTTGCTGCTTTAGTGCTAAAGGAAGCCTCAGAATATAGAAATTGCATTGGCCTGGGCATCAGGAAACATGGGTGGAAATTCCAGCAGTACTATTAATTCACTGTGTGACCTTGGGTAAGTCACATCCCCTTCCAGGGTTTAGATTCTCCAAGTATAAAACAAGGGGTGCTTCTTAATGTTTTTTTAGGTCATGAGTCAGGCCGTAACACACATCCTTAGTGTAACTGATGAAAACTATAGATCCTTTTCCCAGAGAAAAATACAGTCTCATATACACAGAAATGTTTGTATATAAATGAAGAGGTTTCACTGACTACCTGAATTCTACTCATGGTACACAAATCCCAGGTTAAGAACCTTTGGATTTCATAACTATAATGATATTAGCAGTGGTGGTGGTAGCAATAGTAAGAACCAGAATGCCTATCGTGTGCCAGGAACTTAGCAAAGTGTTCACATATATTGCCTCATTTACTCTTTTTTTTTTTTTTTGAGTTGGAGTCTCACTCTGTCGCCCAGACTGGAGTGCAGTGGCCACTCCCAGCCACCGCAGCCTCGACCTGCTGGGCTCTGGCGATCCTTCCGCCTCAGCCTTCCAAGTAGCCGGAATTACAAGCATGCGCTACCACGCCTGGCTGATTTTTTGATTTATTGTAGAGATGAGGTCTCGCTGCCCAGGCGGGTCTCAAACCCGCGGGCTCAGGCAATCCACTCACCTCAGCCTCCCAAAGGCGCGGGATTACAGGCTGAGCCACCGAGCCCGGCTTTCATTTACTCTTAACAACTATTCTAGGAGGTGCCTAGTACTATTGTGGTAAGCTGAATAATGGACCCCTAAAGATGTCCCTGTCTGGTACGACCTGTGAATATGCTCCCTTACATGGAAAGAGGGACTTTGCAGATGCAGCTAAAGTTCTTGCTGTGAGGAGATTATCCTGGATTATCTGAATGCACCCAATGTAATCACAAGGAAGGTAGGAAGGTCAGGATGAGAAGATGACAAGATGATGAAGAAAGCAGAAATCAGGGTGATGCTATGAGCCAAGGAATGCTGGTAGCGTCTAGAAGCTAGAAAAGGGAAGACAATGGATTATCTAGAGTTTAGAAAAAGGAATGCAGCCCTGCTGACCTATTTTCGACTTCTGAGCTCTAGAACCGTGAAATAACAAATTTGTATTGATTTAAAACACTGAATTTGTGATAATTTGTTACAGCAGTGATAGGTAACTAATACAACTACTGCCTCCAGTTAATAGATGAGGAACTTGAGTCTCAGAGAGGTAAAATCATGGACCCAAGATCAGGCAGTAAGTGGCATAACAGATGCACATTCATCAAGTCCTCTCCAGGGGCCCTTCTAGATACAAAGGAGAAGATTCCAGAGCTCTGGGAGATCAATAAATGGGGATAAGAGGGAATGGAAGGAGGTGGGTATCAAACAGGGAGGGCAGGACGCTCCCAGTAGTGGGGGCTATTTCTGCCCAAGAATCTCTCCTCTGCATCCCCCAGCTGATCACCTTTACCACCAATCCCTTTTCCCAAATAGCGTCGTATCGGCTCCCACTGGGGAAGTATAGCGTTCCTTCACCATGAAACATGCCGTCCTTCATTTCCCCAACGTATCTTGTTTCAGTAGGAAGGATGTATTTGGCATTGCCCTCCATCCTGTAAGGACACAGAGAAACTTCTGAGTCCTGTTTGACATCTGCAGGCTCAGAGCTGGCATGCAAGAGAGGAGGGAAGTGGGGAAGGAGAAAATCTTATCCTGATCACCCTCAGTGATTTCAGACGTTATTGTCCCAGCAATATCCTGTTCAAAAGCACCATTTTTGGTTGGGCATGGTGGCACTTGCCTGTAATTCCAGCACTTTGGGAGGCAGAGGATAATTGATTGCCTGAGCCCAGGGGTTCGAGACCAGCCTGGGCAACTTGGCAAGACCTCGTTTCTACAGTAGACAAGTGGGAAAAAAAATTAACCTGGTGTGGTGGCCTGTAGTTCCAGCTACTTGGAAGGCCAAGGCAAAAGGATTACCTATGCCCAGAAGGTCAAGGTTATGATAGCTGTGAGCATGCCACTGCACTCCATCCTGGGCAACAGAGTGAGACTAAAAAAAAAAAAAAGGGTTTTTTTTTGTTTCCCTCAAAAAATGGGAAGGGGAGGGGCAAATAGAGTTTGGTCTGTTCATCCTGCCTCTCACCTAGAGGCTGCCATGGAGTTCACACTGCCCCCTTTGTGGGCCCAGAGGGGTAGGGATGTGCCCAAAGCCTCTACAGTGAAGTAGAAATTCGGACCCAGGTTTTCTGGCAATTGGTTCTATCTTTCCATCCTCCCAAACTAGCTCGCCCCTGCCTATTATATCACAACTAGAATATTTGAAAAAATATGAAATTTAGAGACAGGAGATAAGGGTTTGAATCTTACTTCACTATTTGCTGTATGTATCATTTTGGAATCTTTCCCAAACCTCTCTGTTTGTCTCCCTCCCTCCCTCCCTCCCTCCCTTCCTTCCTTCCTTCCTTCCTTCCTTCCTTCCTTCCTTCCTTCCTTCCTTCTTTCCTCCCTCCCTCCCTTCCTCTCTTCCTTCCTGTAGTTATAGAGTACCTTACTATGTGCCAGGTCCTGTGCTGAGAGTCTGGTCTTCTGAATATAACATAGGTACAACAGTGATCAAGGCAGATGCAGTCCCTGTCCTCAGGAGGCTCACAGTCTAGTGCAGGACATGATCAAGCAATTACACAATGTGTGGTAGGTGCCGTGCAGGAGGAAGGCAAGCCCACACAGGAGCGCAGGGCAGGACTACCAGCTCGTCCAGCTGGCCAGTTTCTTCACGGATGAGATGGCTGAGATTAACCCAATAATGTATCACAATTTTCCTAGTAAAGGGCCTGATACATAGTGAGTGCTTAAGAAATACGTTTTTATTCATTCCTTTATTTCTTCTTCATTCTTCTGCTCTAGCTGAAGGCACCTCTCCTAACTCTGAGCTTCTTTAGGCTTTTGCTAGTACCACTGGTGGGATGTGTAGTACTTTTTGTCCTGTACTGTAATTGTATATCTCGTCTCCTGGATTTAAGGAAAACTTCTTTATAGGAAGACCTTGGTATCCTCAGCTTCTAAAACTACACTCTGTTTTTAAATAGATCTCCATAAACATCTCCTGAATAAGGAATGAAGGAAACAGGCCAGTGGAATGGGTGGCAAGAGGTACTGGTGGGTCGCAGGCCCCAAGCAGGGGAGTGCTGTGGTTAAGGCACAACTTCTTCTTCTTCTTCTTAGTCTCAGTCTGTTGCCCAGGCTGGAGTGCAGTGGGCATGCTCACAGCCACCACAGCCTCGACCTGCTGAACTCAGGTGATCCTTCTGCCTCAGCCTTCCAAGTAGCTGGAACTGCAGGCACATGCCACCATGACTGGCTAATTTTTTTATTTATTGTAGAGACAAGGTCTTGCCGATTTGCCCAGGCTGCAGACCGAGAATCCAGGCTGGCTCCACCTCTCTATGCCCATGTGACCTTGGGCGAGCTCCTTTACCTCTCTAAGCCTGGGTTTCTCATGTGTAAAGTGGGGATAATGACAATACCAACATTGCTGAGATAACAGAATGAGATAACGAATGTGAAACTATAGCAGAACACCATGTAGAGTAAGGGTTTGAAACTATTTTGCTTTTACTCTACTGCAAAAAATGAGGGAGTGAGAGCTCCTCTTCTCCCCTCTACTCTTTGCTTCAGATCATAGCTATCATTTCTAAGCACTGTCTCCATATTAAAGTGCCACACCCTTCTCTGAGATCAGACCCCACCCTTTTTCTTACTGCAAACTGGACAACACTGTTCAGACCTCCTGCAGACATCTCCAACTCACTCAAAACAGAACTAATCCTCCTTTCCTCTGAAGCAGCACCCCCTCAGAGTTCTCCTTTTTCATGAGTGGTATCAGAAACCTCTGGTTCAAAGCCTGGAACTGGGCACTGGGCTGTGGCTGTAAGCAGTCTCTGTATGGGATTGTAGCCAATCAGCTGCCAACTCCTGGCAATGAAATCCCTACCTATCTCCTAGATTTTTCCCTTTCCTGCAGCCCCACAGCCTCTGCTTTGGCCCAGGATCCTGCTGCCTCTTACCAGCATAATTGCAGTGAGTCCTGATCCAGTCTCCCCATCTCCGCTTTACCTTCCTTTCTCCCTCTCTTTCTCTCTCCCTCCCTCCTTCTCCCTTTCCCTCCTTCCCTTTCATTTTTAAAAATTTCACTTAAAGTGAAAAGCCTTCATTATAAATTCAAAGCAAGTTAAAAAAAGAGCCACTTTATAGTGAAAACTTCAATCCATAATAAGGATATGATTACCATATTTCAAATATCTATCATTCATTCACTCTTATTAATTCATTCAGACAACATTCACTGAGTGCCCATCACACATATGTACTACGAAGAGAGAACTATATCGACAAAAATAGGTTGGATTTTCTAATGCTCGGCCCTACCAAGGATCTCTCAGTGGCTCCTCCACCTCCAGAATTGTGCATGGTATTGAGATCTCTCTTTGCCAGAGCACAAACCGCCTGTCCAACTTCCCTTTCCATGGCTCCTCTAGACACACCTTACCCACCAGCCAAACGGAACTGCCTGTTCTTCCCCATACAAGTCCACCGGGGCATTGGTCATGCTGTTCCCTCGGCCTGGAAACATTCTTCACCTTGTATCAACACCTACCTAAATCCTACCCAAACTTCAGGGTCCATTTTAAGTACTATCTCCTCTATGATGCCTTCAAGATCTGCTCCAACTGGTAGGTCCTCTGTAGAGGCTCCCCATCAAGGCTGTATTATAGAAAGCATGTGGGCTTTAGAGTGATAGGCTTGAGTTTTAATCCCTGCTCTGCCAAATGCTAAATAGGTAGTTTGGGGCAAGTTACATAATTATTCTGAGCTTTACTTTTCCCATGATGATATCTATCTCGTAGTGTCTCATAATTTTCCTGTGAGGAGAGGAAGATGCGGGCAAAGCCATCTGCAAGCACAGTGGTTGCTACATAAATGTTACAGGTCTCCCTTCCTTCCCTGTGCTTGTAGGTTTCTTCTGGCATTTACCTTGTGGTGCTTTGCAGTGGTATTATCTAGAACTCAATTGTGCACCTATTCCAGAGAAACCGTGATCTTGAAGTTAGATAGATTCTACTTTATCTTTTTTTTAAAATATATTCACACATAGTACAGGGAAGTCAAATCTCTTTTAAGGTTTTTTAAAACGCTATATTGAAGTATAATTGACATACAATCAGCTACACGTTTAAAGTGTACAATTTAATACATTTTAACATATACCTGGAAACCATCATCACATTCAAGATAATTAACATAACTATTCCTCCCAAGATTTCCTGCTTGCCCCTATGTAATCCTTTCTGCTTGTCCTTTCCCACAATTCTCATCTCCAGGCAACCACTGATCTGCTGTCACCATGGATTAATTTGCATTTTCTAGAATTTTATATAAATGGAATCATACAGTATTTACTCCTTTTTTGGTCTGGCTGTTTTTGCTCAACATTTTTTTGAGATTCATTCAGGTTGTGTTGTGTGCACACCAATAGTTTACTCCTTTGTATTGCTGAGTAGTATTCCAATGAATGTATATATACAATTTGTTTATTTATTCATAGGTTGTTACAAATAAAGCTGCTATGAGCACTCATATATGTGTCTTTGTATAAATGTATACTTTCATTTCTGGGATAAATACCTAGGTGTAGTATGACTGTTTAAGTTTTTAAGAAACTGCCAAACTTTTCCAAATCAGTTGTACCATTTTATATGTCTACCAGTAGTAGAGTTTACATAAACTTTTTAAATCAAATGTTAAATATCAACTACCTATTGTACCTACTCTATTTATTTAAACTCTAAAATGAAAATATCTCAAATTTTAAAGAAATCTATTGCATATCTACCACAGTAAATAACATCTATATATGCTACATTATGTATTCCTTGGAATACTTCTGCTGGATGTGAATTATTTTCCCATTTTACAGATGATGAAACTGGCTTGGGTGATTAATTAAGTGTACAACTAGAAAGTGGTAGGCTTGAGCCCAGGCCTGTCTCATGCTGAAACTTTTTCCCTCTACTATGCTGTCTCTCTCATAACATGCTGAAATTCAAGAGGGCACAAATACAACTCCAGTTAACTTGCTAAAAAACAAAATCAATACAGAATACAAGGCCAAATTGTGAAAAGAAGTACAAGCAAAATAACTGCTGACTCCTTGCTAGTTATGGGAAGCTGGGAAGCCCTATTCAGGTCTCAGAATCCCTATTGTGGTTACAGTAGTACTGAAAAACCTCAAGTAAAAAAGATCCCTAGGAACAAAAGTATGGAAATGGTTCAGGCAATGAAAATGCACAGAAGGCCAAAGGCAAATAGTTGAACACCTTCTCTCTTTGACCCTGTCTGTACATTTCTCTCTCTCTCTCACAGCCTATTGAAAATGAGTTTAGGTTCTCAAATTTTTTGTGCCTAAAATGCCAAATACTCCATTTCTATATGCCAAAACTCTTCCACCTTCATTGTAGCAGGGTCTTGTGGAAAGAAGGAATATAGAAACAGGCTTGGGTTAAAGTTCTGACTTCATGACTTCTTAGCTGTGTATTCGTAACAGTGGGCAAGTCATTTTGCTCCTCTCAACTTCTATTCCATTGTTTGCAAGATCAATCTGAACTACCTCACAGAGTTGTGAGAGGAAGTACACACCAAGCACCTCTGTCATCTGCTGAGTTGGACAAGTGTCTCGACCCCTCTAAGTGTCACTTTTCTTATGTCTAAAGTGGAGATAACATCTCCCTTGCAAGATGATATAAGGATTACTGATAACATCTCATATATACTATCACTTTATTTAGGCATCTATCTCCTCTCCCTGGCCAGACCACTGATCCCTCTTCCTGTGAACTCAAAAAGCCCTGGAATTCCACCAATCTGTAAATACAGGGTACAGATTCCACCAAAATGTTGACCTCTATCTCTTCTCTATCTCCACATCTCCAAGGTAGGAGTACTTCACAGTCCCCTCAACTAGCACTTGTGTGGCAATCCACTTCACCTTACTCAGTTTCAGTTTCCCCAGCTACAAAACAGAATCCACCTTGGTTGGCAAAGAAGAGTGGCCACCTCTGTGTTTCCTCTGCTTCTCTCTATCACAGCATTTACCACACTGAATTACAGTTGTCTGTGTTACCTCCTACATTTGAATGAAACCTCTGAGGGCAGGGATTGTGACCAAAGTCAACTCCAGGGCCTGGTACTTGGTAGAGCGGTAACAATGTTGAACTTAATAGCTTTTAACTACTAGTCTAATACTAGCTTTTAACTACTACAGTGATTTATGTATTTAATCCTCTATTATAATCTCTAGATTGGGAACTCCTTGAGGAAAGAGACCATGTGGATTCAGACTAGCCACAATCCCTCTTCCTCAGTCTCCATCTTTGTCTTCATAGCGTTTACCACTATCTGTAGTTGTATTCTCATTTATTTGTTCATTGGCAATACACCTCAAATTAGATTATAAAGTGCATGAGAGCAAGGATCTTGACATTTTCAATATTCTTATCCCCATACCTAAAACTAGCAGCTAGCACACAAAGTATATAGAATGAATGAGTCTCAGCTCTTGGGCTTATGTGTCCTTGAGCAAGTTACTTGGACAAATTTGTGAAAGTGCCTGGCACAAAGTCTGTCGCAGAGGCAAAACGACAGCTATCTTTTCCCAGTCACATTCAAGACGTAGTGAACCAAATGAAGCCCCTACCTCCCATTTACATATTCCCCGATATATTCGCTCCCGGTGTACTCCATGACTCCTATGTCCAGTTTCCAGCCGTTGGGATTCGGAATCTCAGTGTACACGTCATCACCATGACAACCAGGAGGGCTAGGCGGAGCCGACTCGAAGCCCCGCCCTACGGACGCTACAGAACTTCCTGGCATTGCGCACGCTCCCTCGCTCGCGGTTGGGCAAAATAGTGCGCCTGCGTGCCGCCGCTGCGCATGCGCAGGCGCTGTGTGGCCCTCTTCGCCGGTCGAAAGGGGAGGTCAAGGAGACGGGGGAGACGCGGTTGAGGGCGCCTCGTCAGGGTCGGGGCTGCAGCCGTCATGCCGGGGATAGTGGAGCTGCCCACCCTAGAGGAGCTGAAAGTGCAGGAGGTGAGGCTCGTCCGGAGGACAGGCAAGCAGGGCATAGGGCTGCAGCTTCCCGGGCCTGGGCCCAGCCCTGCTTCGCCTCGGGGGACCCTGGGCCGCGGGTTCCCCTTTCCCTGCGGTCCAGCACATACACAGGCCGAATCCCGGACGTCCCCTCCACAGCTTTGGGAGTCTCTCTTACCCCATCCTGTTGCTTCCTGTAGTGGCTCTAAAACCCTTTCCCCTCCCCCCACACAGCGACCTTCCCCTTGCGTGAATAATAGTGGTACTTTTTTATTAAGCACGAACCAGGGTCACTTTACCTAGTTTATGTCGCTTAATCCTCAAACCTCCCTGCGAAGTGAGTACAGCCCTAGGTACTCACAGTTGAGGAGTAGACTGTCACCTTAAGGTGATATCCTCGGTGGTTCAGAGTGCATTAGAGTGGAGGGAAAATGAGAGGATGCTGGAGAATTTGTTCACAGCCATGGGAAGGTGTTTGGTAACAGAACACATTTAAAGCATTCATTTATCCAGGAGATATCATTTGAATAATTACTGTGTGCACAAGTACTGGAAGAGGTCTACTCCCTGCTCTCATGGAGTTTATAATCTAGTAGGGGACAGACACAGAGGCGAAGTAGTTTGTGCTATGAGAAGTGAAGACAAGAAGACATGTACTACTAATTATAGCTAAAACGATCAAGCCTTTTCTAAACCAGGCAGGGTGCTTAATTACATGCACGAATTCCTCCCAGCAACACTATAAGGTAGGATATATAGAATTGGTTTTCTATGTTACAGGTAACGAAATAGTCCCTGAGAGTAGAAGCAATTTGTCCAAGGTCACGTAGCTAGTAAGAGTGGTAGAGCTGGAACGTGAGGCCAGGTCTGATTTAAAAACCCATGCCAACTGGGCTCGGTGGCTCAGCCTGTAATCCCGCGCCTTGGGAGGCTGAGGTGAGTGGATTGCCTGAGCCCGCGGGTTCGAGGCCCGCCTGGGCAACTTGGTGAGACCTCATCTCTACAATAAATCAACAGTTAGCCGGGCATGGTAGCGCGCGCCTGTATTTCCGGCTACTTGGAAGGCTGAGGCGGAAGGATCGCTGGAGCCCAGCAGGTTGAGGCTGTGGTGGCCAGGAGCGGCCACTGCACTCCAGTCTGGGCGACAGAGTAAGACTCCAACTAAAAAAAATAAAATAAAAAAATGAAAACCCATGCCTATCAACTATCATCTTATGGGCAAAGCTGAAAAGAGTGAGAAGGCTTAGCAGAAACTTTTGTGTTTAGGGAGCCAAGTGCTATTTGATGTTACCTTATTATTGGGAAGCAGCAGCTGCTGAGCCTGGAGAGGCGTCTTGGGCTGCAATAGAACTTGGAAGCAGTTTGGGTTTCAGCCGTAAGTGAGTTGGTGGGAAGAGGCAGCCAAGGTGTAAGCCAGAGGAGTGTCATAGCAGAGCTGGACAGTAGAAAGAACAGGCTATATTAAGGGAAAGGGAGGACAGACCTAAAAATTATGTGCTAGAAATTATATACCAGGCACTATGTTAAGTGTTTTTCCTGCCTTGCTTCATTGAATCTTATATGACCATGGGAATGGCAACTTATTTTCTTCAGATGAAGAAAGTGATATTTACTACGAGGTGGGAGATGGGATGCTGCCATGGAACCAGGCAGTCTTTTGTTTCTTGCCCTACCATGTAGCTGGGTTAATCTTGAGTTGCAGTATTTTTTTTGTTGAAATTTTAATTTGGTTCAATAAAGTTCTTAGGTTCCACTTATTGTATGTGTGCTATATCTGGAATAAATTTGCCTTTTGGGTTTACAATTGAATTGAGAAACTGATAATTACATAAATAACTAAAATACAGGACAAAAGTATGATTAAATGCTATGAAAGAGGGACAGACATAGTTTAAGAAAAGAGCAGGACTTGAAATTGAAACCAAATTCTAGGCCTTGTTTTGTTGCTTTTAGCATTTGCAGACAGTTAATTTATTTGTAAAATTGAGGTGATTCCAGCTGTAAAATTATCTGAGGCTATAAAGGGAATAGAGAAAGCACTTCTTGGGCATAATGTAAGACATGGCTAAATGGCATTTGGAAAATGCACTTGTGGGCAGAGATGGAGAGAAGAGTCTCTAAGTGAGGGTAGGAGCTGAGCAAAGATAAGGAAATGGGAAAATGCAGCAGGCCCAAAAGGGTCTGGCAACAGTGAGTTCAGTTTTGAGAGAACAGCAAATGGCCCCTTTTTGAAGAGTTATGGGTGAGAAGCATGGAAAGTTAGTGCGAGTCCAGAAGGCTTTAAATACCCAATAAGAAATTTAGGCTTTATTCTACTTTTAAGGCTGAAGCCCTTGAGGGTTCAGTTGCTAATTTATTTTAATAGCAGAGTAAAATAAGAATCGTTTTCTAGGGCGATCACTATAGCAGCTCTGTGAAGGATGGATTGAAGAGAGGAAAAGAAAAGCAGGGGGATTAGTCTCAGTGGCTGTTAAAATGGTTGAGGAAGATGTTAATGACCCTAGCTAATTTATAGTTAATTTATAGTTGTTAGACAAAGCAAAGGACAAGAATATCTAGAATTGACTTAACAGTGAATTCCTTATTGGAGTCAGGAAGTTTGAGGAAAGTCAGATTTGCAGCCTGACTATAGGACTGGGGAAACTTGAAGGAGGAGCAGGTTTGGGAGCAAGTTTAACACATTTTGGGCGTCATTGACTTAGGTGTTATGACATAGTCTCATTGAAAAAAGTAGTTAGAGCTTTGGGCTGGAAACTTCTTGGACCTATGAAAAATAATAATTAATATTTACAATGTACATTCTATGCACAAGTCACTGTTCTTATTATTTTAATTTGTATTAACTCATTGAATCCTCAAAGCAGTTTTGTAAAATAAGTACTAGTCTTCATTTTACATAAATTAAGGGAAATACAAGGCATGGTATAAATTAAGTACAATAAAAAGAGGTACAGACATAGTGTAAGGAAGCACGAACAAAATTAGAAGGTTGATTGGCTGTAGATTGTGACTTTCTCTGTCTCACTTTCCACACCTGCAGACTCTAACCCTGATGTGCGGTGAGGCTGTTGTGAGAATAAATGAGGAAGGATGTTGAAATTCTGTGTTCTTTGAGACAAAGAGAGCTGAATGAATTTGAGAGGGTATTCATGGTAAGCAGCTGTGAAAAGATGTTGTTTCTGTTGGGACTAATCAGTCTTAGTAAAGAAGCAGGTGAGGGGATATGGTGACATCTCAAGTTCCTTGCCACCTCAATGATGGTGATGTAAAGGGAAAAAGTTTGATTGGAGGTTATAATCTCTGTGTTCCAGTTCTGGGGTTGCCACTGACCCACTGTGTTATCTTGAGCATCTCTCTCTTTTTCATCAGTTAGGAAATAGATTCAATGAGTAGTTCTCATCTGTTATTTCCATGTGATAGGAATAGTGTTTTACATGCTCAACAACACAGGATATAATTTCATTTTATTAAGACCTCCATATTTGTAGGGAAGTAAAACAAATAATGCTGCAAGCTTTTTGGGACATGATAGCCATGAGCACTTAAAGAATTAAATCAGCCATTTAAAGATATTTTAAGGCATTTGACAGGGAAATAAAATATAGCTACTTCATTTTTTAATATATTAAGCTTTAAAAAAAGTTTGGATGGTGATTTTTTAAATTCTCCCAGCTATTTACAGGTAATAAAGCTAGTAAATGTATACCACACAATTGATTTAAATAAATAATTTTATTTTCAGAAACGAATACAAAAACTTTGCAGAGTTTTAACATAAATTTATTAGAATCATCATGGCAGACCTCACTTCCATCATAACTTTACCTTTGCTTTGATAATTATAACAGTTGTAACATTAGTAGACATAGTCATAAGCTTATTCTCCTCTTTCTATAGTGTGTAGATGAGTTGTGTGGATGAATTACTCTCTTCATCTTTCCTTGCCTTTTATCTCATTAATAACCTGGCTGTGTTAAGTATATAAAAAATAAAATCATGGGCTATTCTTTCATAAAAGTCTTTAATTTTGCAATCCAAATCCATTATTGTATTAAAGCATGATACACTATGACAAACTAGATTTTATTCTAGATATACATACAGTAGGTCAGCTTTAGAAAATCTGTTAATATTTTATGTTATGTTTATAGATTAATTTAAAAAGAATCCAAAAAATTTCAGTCTTTCCTGGTGGAGAATAGAGCAATAGTAAAGCAAAGCCAAGTAGAGTTAGAAAGAAACTTACTTAAAAAGGAATAATCAAACAACTTACATCCCAGATACCAACAGCAAATATATCAAACTGTGCTTTAAAGTTTAGAAAAAGGCAAGGTTACCAAATGTCATCGCTTTTCATTTGTATTGTCCTAGAGGGTTTGTTCAGAGCAGTAAGATAGGAAAAGAGAATAGGAAGAAAAAAGGTATAAATAACAGAAGGAAAGGGAACCCTTTTATTTGTAAATAGTAGTTTTTCCACTAATTCTCTTGAATTTGGAATTAGAACTAACAAGAGTTCAGTAAGATGGCTACAGAAAATATACAGTGTATAGACAAGCAGTAAACAGTTTGAAAAGCTAATAGAAAAAAATACTCTATTTAGATAGTATAAAAATCCTAAAATACTGAGTAATAAATAATAAATGTGCAAAGTCTCTGTGGTAGAAAACTAATTTTAACTGAAGGACAAAAATGACAAGAATGAATAAATGGAGAGAAATACTGTGTTCTGGATGAGGAGGTGTAATTCATGTATTCTTAGATCTTGTAACTGTTGTATCACCATTGCCTGACATAGAATTGGGCACTCAACTGCTACTTGTGCTAGACATTATTTTGGTTGCTTGCTTGGTGTACCGTAGTAAACATTACATTTAATTACCATAGCTTAATTTAGGAAGAAATGATATTTTCACAGTACTGGATCTCTGTTGAAAACAAAATCCCTGCCCTCTTAAAGCTTATATTCTAACAGTTGCACATAGACTACATGAGTGACCACTGATGCTGGCTAGCTTACACAAGATACTTAGGGAAAGTCTCTCTGAGGACATACAATTTGAGGAGAGATTCAGTATTATAAAAGTGGCCATTGCCCCCAATTTAATATATAATTAAATTTAATGCAATTTGAATGTGAATTATTGGTGTTCATCTGAAAGAATAACTGAGACAATTTTGAAAAGGAAGAATAAGGAGGATGGTTCTTCCAGATTAAAAAAATGTTTTCTTAAGTTACAGTAATTACAATCTTGTGGTATTGGTATAAGAAAAGGTAGTATAGAAAAAGAGACCAGTAGGACCCTTGCTGTTGCAGCTATCAGATAGGCCCTGGACTGTTTGCAGTTCTTCTTGAGTTTGCTGTAAGTATACTATGTTTTTTAAGAAAATGAACTGAAGTGTGAATGGAGGAGACTGGCAGGCTTAGTTATAGAGATGGCAACCTTGGATATGCTCTAAGTTATAATTTTTATAAATTTGCAGATTTAGTACTTTATTATTAGTGATAACCGGCTGGACTAGATGCTCCTTCTGATCCCTTCCAGTCTCCTGTCTTCTATAATTCCTAGTTCTCTGGGAGTTTCATATGTCCTTATCCTATTAATTTTATTTCTGGAGCAGAAACTCAGCAAAGCTCCCCAGAGTTGGTTCCCCCTCATATCTCAGAAGCTCCATTCTCCTTCACAGCTTCCATTCTCTCTACCATAAATATGTAAAGATTCTATCAGAGCTTCCATTTCTTCAGCTCTAAAATGGGGATAGTAACATCAACTTAATGAGATTATTGTAAAGGTAAAGAAAATATGTATGGGAAAGAACTCTGTGATCTCTAAAGCACTATAGACTGTAAAGAATTATTATGACAGCCCCAGGTCTGTAGTTTTCTTGGTAAAGTCAGAACAGTGCCACCTTTGTGTTGTTTTGACCAGCATGAGGTAAAGTTGAGAGAGTGATATTCTTTCTCCTGTCTTTTTTTCCTCAGGTGAAAGTCAGTTCTGCTGTGCTTAAAGCAGCAGCCCATCATTATGGAGCTCAATGTGATAAACCCAACAAGGAGTTTATGCTCTGCCGCTGGGAGGAGAAAGATCCAAGGCGGTGTTTAGAGGAAGGCAAGCTGGTTAACAAGTGTGCTTTGGAGTTCTTTAGGTAAAAATCTTTTGGTATCAGTGTCTGTCTGGTTGAAACATCAAGGTATTCTTAAATGAATAAGTGAATGTCCAGCTAATTAGGTGGAAGGATAATTTTAGTAGGAAGTGCATAGGCTTTGAAGTCAGATAGACCAAGGTAAACACTCAATAAGTGATAGTTATTTTTGGTTTTGTTTTTATTATCTGGAAAGTTCTTTAATCTCCATGAATATTAGTTTCCAAATTGTCAAATAAAACCTATTTTATACAGTATTACTGTGAAAAATGTGAAAAGGCATGTAAAAAAAATCTGCACTGCTTGTTAGCAGGCATTCACTAAGTTGTTACTACAGAAGACAATTATGATGGAAAGAAAAGTGTGTTCAGAGTCAGGTTTTAGGTAGGCCACTGTGCTTGATACTTAAGTAAAAAAATCTAAATTGTGTAATTGTAGAAAAATGTTTTAACAACCAGATTAGTCAGAACTCTATTAAAAGGGATAGAAACTCAACTCAAAGGGAATTAATTGGCTCTTGTAACTGTGAAGTTCAGAAATAGGCCTGACATCAAGCAGGAGTGGATTCAGTGTCTTAAATAATTTCACAATTACTTGATGTCTTTTTGCCTCTCCTCTTCTCCCCAGAACTAAGTCCCTTAGTTCTCCTTTGTTGACCTTATTTTCAAAGAGAGTCCCCTTGCTGCAGCAAAAATGGCCACTGGCTACTTCAAGCTGCTAGTTTACTTGCTTAGCAAACCTAGACAAAGAGTGTCATTTCTCCAGAAGTGAGCAGAGGTTGCTGGTCTGAGTCTGATTGTCCTGGCTGGCTGATTCTGTATACATATCATTGAATTATTTCTGCTCCAAGAGATAAAATGCTCTGATTGGTTAGATCTCAAATATGGAATATACTTAGCTTCATCCAAACCACATTGCTGAGAGATGGGGAACAGTTGTTCCCCACAGGAACATTAGAAGAATGTTACAAAATAATAGGGAATGACTGCTGGGTAGGCAGAAACCACAGATGTCCACTACAGTGATAATAGAGGAAAAAAATCAAATACCTTAGCACCATTACTTCTTTCTTTCTTGCTTGCTTCTGCTGTCTTTGTCCCCAAGGAAAGATATTTTTGTGGTTATAATCTTAGTGTATATACATTAAAAATTTTTTTTTCACTTGAAACTATTGAGAAGATTCAAGTTGCTATATAGTCTTCATGATCCATTTTAAATGGATTTGTAATATTCTATCCATAGATAAATCAACCATAATATACCTGACTACTTTCTGTTACCGAACATCATTATAGATTTAAGTTTTTAATTGTTTTGGATAAATCTGTAGTGACTACTTTTGCGTATAGATCTTTTTGACCTTTTAATTAATTCTTTGACATACATTTTCTAGCAGTGAGATTATCCTATAAAAGGCTTTAAACATTGTTTTTAGCTCTTGAACTTTATTGGTTTTTTTTTTAAGTTATCAGTTTATACTGTCCTCAGCACTGTATCCTGGTATGCATATTATTTAAATATTTGGTAGGTGCAAAATGGTATTTTATTATGCTTGAATTTGCATTGATGTGATTGCTAGCAAGGTTGAATGTGTGTGTTTATTTTAAAAGTGTTTCTTGTCTTTTTTTTTTTTTTTGAGTTGGAGTCTCACTCTGTCACCCAGGCTGGAGTGCAGTGGCACTCTCACAGCCACCACAGCCTCTACCTGTTGGCCTTAGGCGATCCTTCCACCTCAGCCTTCCAAGTCGCTGGAACTACAGACGCATGCCACCACGCCCAGCTAATTTTTTGTGATTTATTGTAGAGACAAGGTCTCACCAAGTTGCCCAGGCTGGTCTCAAACCCTCGGGCTCAGGCAATCCTCTTGCCTCGTAAAGTGCTAGGATTACAGGCTGAGCCACCGCGCCCGGCCAAATGTTTTTATTTTCTAAGGGAGCTTTGGCAAAGCATTTTTTCCATGGCTCAGAGGTAGTATGTTTTAAATGGGAATGTTTGGATTTCACAAATTCCCAGCTGCTTTCATGAGAGGAATTTCTCATTGCTGAAGTTGCTGGTTATAGGCATTAGTAGATATTACCTGTCAGGTGTGAGTAACAGGGTCCGAAATAGGAATCTGTGGTACTAGAGTGGTTGTTTGCAGCACTTCTGCTACAGCATTTTGGAGGAATACAAAACTCCCATTGGAAATGGTAGCTTTCTACGAGAATGATCTCAGATAGAGGTCAGGTGGGTGCAGGTTATGCTTAGACTACCTGGAAGGGGTTAGGGCTAGGGTTAGGGGAATTGAGTGGCTGTCAGGCAGGAATGAAAAACAGATTTTGTACTATGTACTTCCTTAGACCATCTCTGAGATTCTTTCTTCCTGAGACATGTTACACTAAGACTCATATGTTGAGGCCATAGCTAGATTTCTGGAGCACAGCAAGTAAGCACTTCATAATTATTATTCCATTGGGGGAATGAGTACTCTGAATTTCTTCCACTGTCTCAAATATGGCTTTTATATAAAATGATGGTATTTTATTCTTGCTTGAATTTGCATTCTAGCAGAGTCAAATGATAAGGGAAATTTTGCAAAATAACTAAAACTTATCCCTTTTATACACAAAAGTTATGTTTTCTCCAGCTATTTTTGATGGCCACAAAATGAATTATATTCCTACCCTACTTCTTAACAGAGAGCATTAAATATAGCTTTGTTCTTGATAACAAGGATTACTAATCTATTTTTGTTTTATGCATTGATAGAATAAAGACCTGGAGCTTTTGAGGAATGGAGGGCAGTTTGCCTTTCTACTGAATGATCACAGAATCTTTTGCTTGTTAGTTTGTACATTTGCTTTTTATAATTCTGTCTCCTCCTTTGCCATTGTTTGTCACCTCTGCTTCATGTTAGCATGCCCATCTCTGATTATGCCTCCTTTTCTTATAATTTTGCTAAGCTGATACTCTTTAAAATTGGATCTAAAGAAAAGAATAAATAGGCCCCAAGTAAGGAGTGCCCTTTTGAGAAAAATACATGTGCCTTAGGCTATACTGGTTTTTTGCTACATAAAAAAATTAAGTTTTTTACCTCAGAAATCTTTTTTGTTTACTTACTGGTTCTCAACTTGAGGATTTTGAAGTTGTCTTGTGAAGTGGGAGTATTTACTCCCATACCTTGCTAAAAGCAAGGCTATGTATTTGAGATCTGTACCTATGTTTTCCCCTTTTTTCTGTTTTTTGTTTTGCAAAGAGCTGCCCTTACCTGTCCCTCTTTTCCAGGCAGATAAAGCGTCACTGTGCGGAGCCTTTTACAGAATATTGGACTTGCATTGATTATTCCAACTTGCAGTTATTTCGTCACTGTCGCAAACAGCAGGCAAAGTTTGACGAGTGTGTGCTGGACAAACTGGGCTGGGTGCGGCCTGACCTGGGAGAACTGTCGAAGGTAAAAAAAGTTCCTGCTGGAGGTCTCACTCTCTGACTCAGGGGTGGGACAAAGACAGGAGGTGGTCAGAAAAGGGTCTCTGTGAATACAGATATGATATGAGCACTTATCAGATTTACCAGATTAATTAGACAGTGATTATACACAATTCAGAAGGGAGTTTTTAAAATAGAGCTATTCCTTTAAATAGATCTTCTAGCATGTGCAGATTTGTTTTTAATTAATTAGCTAATTGACGAACAGAAGGGAGTAGGTGGATAAACAAAGGGTTAGTGAAACACTGTCATTTGAAAACATCATTGAGATTATTGTGAGGTTCATTGGGGAAATAGGATCGGGATTATGCCACCTTTTTTTGGGAACATCCCTAAGATTTAAGAAGTACATGCCTGTGGTTTTGGAAGTATGTTTTCTTGGCTGGGTGCAGTGACTCATACCTGTAATCCCAGACCAAGGTGGGAGGATTGCTTGAGCCCAGTAGTTCAAGACCAGTCTGGACAACATAGTGAGACCTCATCTCTACAAAAAATAAAAAAATCAGCTGGTGGCATGCAACTGTAGTCCCAGCTACTCGGGAGGCTGAGGTGGAAGGATTGCCTGAGCCCAGGAGTGCCACTACACTCCAGCCTGGGTGAACAGAGTAAAACCCTAGCTCAAAAAAAAAAAAGAGGTGTGTTTTCCTTCTCTTCTGTATTTCCTATGTATTGTGACACCATCATCTATTGAAACATCAGAGCTAGAAACCTGATGTTATTCTTAACTCCCTACTCATTTTTGCTCTGTATAGCCATCAATTCCTATAGATTAGCATCTCCTGGAATACATTAATCCTGTCACTGTTCTACTGCTGTTACCTTATTCTTGGACAGTAGTTCTTAACCTGGGCTACATGAATTTCTGGGAGGGGAGGTAAGGTGGATCAGCTTGAACTTTAAAAGACAATGCATCCTCTGAAGATTTTAGAGACTCCCTGTTTCTTGCAAGGTAAAGCATCCTCTACATATCTTGTCATTCAGGAGCTTTATGATCTGACCCATCCTTGTTTCTTCAGCCTCAGTACCCTCCATTCCCTCTGGAGCAGCAGATAGCAAAGAATGGAGGGAAAAAAACTCTTGGTTTGAATGGAGGCAGAGAGTAGATTTGAATCTTCATTCCACTACTTAGTTGCTATGGGATTTTGAACAAATTTTTTCTGTCCTATTGCATCTACAAAATGGGGTCAAGAATAATTCCTGTTTTTCTGGGATAATTACATTAGAAAACCTCTATGAATTCCCAGTATAGTGTCTAGGCACATACGTCCACAATTAATGTTAGGTCCCTTCTTTTTTGTGTATAGCATCTGTGAATAGTTGGGTCATAAGCTTGTGTAATGACTTACACATTTTTTTTTTGTATCTGGCATGATTATCTTTACTTCAGAGATCTTTTGATGCACTGAACATATTATTTTAAATAGCCAATAATTCTAAATTGGAAAGCTATGGAATTTATACATGTAACAAATAAAACTACCTTTTCTCATTTCTGACTTTTGTGAAAGGAGAATGAATAAGTCATGCTATTAAAGTATATTTGTTCCTGAATCTTCGTATGTAAAAAAAAAATCCCTATAAAATAAAAAAAGTATCGGGCCAGTCACAGTGGTTCATGCCTATAATCCCAGTACTTTGGGAGGTCGAGGTTAGAGGATTGCTTGATCCCAGGAGTTCAAGACCAGCCTGGGCAACACAGCGAGATCTCCTCTACAAAAAATTAGCTGGGCCTGGTAGTGCACTCCTGTAGTCCCAGCTACTTAGGAGGCTGAGGCAGGAGGATTGCTTGAGCCCAGAAGGTTGAGGCTGCAATAAGCTGTGATTATTCCACTGCATTCCAGCCTAGGTGACAAAGAAATACAAAAGAAAATATTTCTTTCTGACTTTTTACTTTTTATTTATTTTATTTTATTGTTGGTTTTTTCTTTTCGAGTCAGAGTCTCACTCTGTCGCCCAGGCTAGAGTGCAGTGGCATGCTCACGACCACCACAGCCCCAACCTGCTGGGCTCAGGCAATCCTTCCTCCTCAGCCTTCCAAGTAGTTGTAACTTCAGGCTAAGTTTTTGATTTATTGTGGAGACGAGGTCTCGCCATGTTGCCCAGGCTGATCTTGAACCCCTGGGCTCAGGTAATCCTCTCGCCTCTACCTTCCAAAGTGCTAGGATTACAGGCATGAGCCACCGTGTCTGGTGTTTCTGACTTTTTAAGGCAGAATTACTCTCTCTCATTCATTTCATCATCCTGATAATACTGAAAATAACTTTGGAGTACTTACTATGTATAGTACTTACATATAGTACTCTATCCCAATAACCCTGTGAGCTACTAATAACCTCTTTTACAGATGGGAAATTGATGGGTAAGTAGGCTTCCCAAAGTTACTTATCTAGTACTTAGTTTAACCACATGCATCTGCACCTTTCCTTTTTGGTGCTGGTGCAGAAGGGGGAATTGCTTTTTTGTTCTTTCTTCAATAAGTTGTCCTTAAGTTCTGTATTACTTGAAGTTTCAGAACCATTTTTCTAGATTAATTTCATAAATATTTTTTAATTCCTTAAAGGAGTTTCAAATACCAGCAGGAGGCATTTGGAATTACTCTGTCAAGCAATACAGAACCACCAGTGATCTCTAATTATAGCAGGGAGATGGTTTAAAAGCAAACAAAAAATCATTCTGAACTTGAAGATGTGGGTTGCAGCTCCAGTTCTGACATTACTGTGTATCTTTATTTTAGGCAAGTCAACCTCCTTGGTCTTCATTCGTGAACTAGAAATAATAATGCCTCATAGGGTGGTAATAATAATAATAGTGTGATTGTATACCTGAAAGCTATGTTCACAATAAATGGTTTCTGAATTTATACATCTAGGAAGATTAATCTGGTCTTTTTTTTTTTGAGTCGAGATCTCATTCTGTCACTTAGGCTGGAGTGCAGTGGCACAATCAGGGCTCACTGCAGCCTCAACCTTCTGGGCTCGGCAGTCTTCCTGTCTTGGCCTCCTAAGTAGCTGGGACTACAGTAGCTGGGACTACAGTGCACTACCACACCTGGCTAATTTTTTGCTGTGATGATGCGGTCTCACTTTGTTGCTCAGGCTGATCTTGAACTCCTGGGGTCAAGTGATCCTATGCCTCAGCCTCCCGAAGTGTTGGGATTATAGGCATGAGCCGTTGTCCCCAGCCAATCTGGTAATATTATATGGGGTGATTTAAAGTTCAGACTAGTAGAGTAACAATCAGAGGATTGTTGATAACTGTGGCCTTATGTCTTCCCAGTTATCTAGGCCTATTCTTTATCTTTAAAATGAGAAGAGTTTCTACTGGCTTTCCAGTTGTGATTTCTGTGACCATCAGGGGATAGTGTGAGTGTAAATACATTTTCTCTCTGTTGCAGTTGAGTTCTTTACCTCTTGCCTGGCCTTTTGCCTCAGCTCCCCAATTCTGTTCTCGCCTCTCTCCAGTTAAACACCTTCCAGCCTATCAATGTGATTTAGTCACTTCCCTGCTTTAGTGGCACCTGTTGTCAGGTTAAAATTCAAACACCTCTGCACATCATTCAACACCCTCTGTCATTTAGTCCTTCCCACCGGTGTGTAGCATGGTATTGGAAAGCACAGGTTTTGAAGCAGGCAGATCTGGCCTATTGTACTAGTTCTTCCACTATTAGCTAGGTGGCTTCAGTGAACCCCTACACGATGACCTCATAGGCATGTGAAGATAGAATAATGTGCTCAACATCATTTCTAACAATAAGTGCTTGGTCAGGTGCTTCATCTCCCTCCATTCTTCATGTACCCTTTGCTTTAGCCATTCTAAAGACATGCCTGTCTGTCTTCATATGTACTGTTTACTTAGAATGTCTTTTCCTCCCTCATCTTTCTGGCTGACTCCTGCTCAGATTTCAAGATTAAGTTAAATGTTACCTCTTCACAAATATCCAAGCCTTCAGATGAATGAAATGTGCAGTCCTTACTCCCATTTGTGTCTCCATTATGGTAATTAGGTAATATAGTAATTAGGAGTCTTGGTATTCTTGTCTATTTCCCTCACTCTAGACTGTGATCCCCTTGAAGACAGTGTTTATCTTGTTCCCTTCTATATCCCTAGCTTCTTTCATATGGAATGACATACAGTAGGCTTTCTTAAGTGTTTAAGTATTAAATGAATGTGAATGTGATTTGCTGGGGTTTTAAGTTGGGGAACAGTTGGGGGCAGCAGAATGGAAACAATGGGAGGCGTGTTTATGGCCACTAACTACTCCAGCCAAACTTTCAACTTTGCTTTTTTCCTCTCTCCACCCTTCCCAGGTCACCAAAGTGAAAACAGATCGACCCTTACCGGAGAATCCCTATCACTCAAGAGCAAGACCGGAACCCAACCCTGAAATTGAGGGAGATCTGAAGCCTGCCAAACATGGCAGTCGCTTTTTTTTCTGGACCACATAAGGATGGGTCCATGGCCCACCCTCAGTCACGCGCCCAGACAACGACTGATGAAAATGCCCATGCAGTTTGCATCGACTGATAGTGTGTACTTTCCAGGATCACAAACATTAACAAAAAAGTTAATTTATGTGACTTGGCAGTTATTCCATACCATTTCCTGTCCATTAAAAATTTTAAAGGAAACGGTTATATTTGATTACGTTTTATGTGACCTTTTGGCCTACATATTCTTCTTGCTTTGCTTTAAGTAGGCACTCACTGTTGTGACCAGGGAGCCACATTAAATCAGGGAGAAATGACTATAAAGGAAAGATTTTTGTTACCTGAGGCAGCTGCTCTGGATATGTTTGTGTTCACACATTTTGAAGTCTCAACTCTCTTTTCTCCCATCCTACATCTCAGGCAAATAGATTTCCCTAAAGGTCATACAAGGGGAACCTTCAGGATAGAAGTGAAGAAACATGTGAGCCTGTGACTCAGGGAATGGGAGGAGCTCCTGGCTGTGTCTTCTGCAGTCTTGTTCAAAGTTTCTTAAAGGACCGAACTTCCACCACTTCCCCTTGATATGCCATCCTTGAGCATTAGAACCCAGATGTTTTTCCTGATAGACAAGGGAGGTGGAGGCTGAATTCCCAGCTCCAAAGCCAGGAAGTCTGGAGCTCTGAGTGTCAATTCCAACCTTGGGTGTGTTTCTTAACCTCTTGTGAGAGGTTTAATTTGAGGACAGACTAAAGGGCACATGCTTATCTACCTCCCCGGCAGGTTAAGGCCACAAGTGTTTATAAAGCTCTTTGGTTCAAAGCACTATTATATCTTTTCCCCCCTTTCATTCAATTCCTTTTTCACTACTAGGCTATTTCCTTTACATTTGACTGAGTACCTTTATACCTTCTCGGTTTTATTTTTATTTTTTTGAGTTGGAGTCTCATTCTGTTGCCCAGACTGGAGTGCAGTGGCATGCTCCCAGCCACCGCAGCCTCAACATGCTGGGCTCCGGCAATCCTTCCACCTCAGCCTTCCAAGTAGCCAGAACTACAGGAACGTGCTACCACTCCTGGTTAATTTTTTATTTATTGTAGAGACGAGGTCTCGCCAAGTTGCCTAGGTGGGTCTCAAACCCTCAGGCTCAGGCAGTCCACTCACCTCGGCCTCCCAAAGTGCTGGAGTTACAGGCTGAGCAACTGGGCCTCCCAAAGTGCTGGAGTTACAGGCTGAGCAACTGAGCCCAGCCCGTGGCTTTAAATTGCATATGACCTTGCTTAAGTCATCTTCATCTCTGGGCCTTGGTTCCTTCTTTGCAGAGACCTAAAGTAAGCCGGGCTTGGTGGCTCAGCCTGTAATCCTGCGCCTTTGGGAGGCTGAGGTGAGTGGATTGCCTGAGCCCGCGGGTTCGAGACCCGCCTGGGCAGCGAGACCTCATCTCTACAATAAATCAAAAAATGAGCCGGGTGTGGTAGTGCATGCCTGTAATTCCGGTTACTCGGAAGGCTGAGGCGGAAGGATCGCCAGAGCCCAGGAGGTCGAGGCTGTGGTGGGCGGGAGCGGGTGACAGAGTGAGACTCCAATTCAAAAAAAAAAAGTAGTTGGACAAGAGTCTTTCTAAAGGCTTTTCCAATTCTCATTCTAGATTGTCTTAAGTGGAGATATTGCTGTGAGGCATTAGACAAATGAGGCACAAGGTCTTGCCCACAGCATTAGGACAGTTCAAAGAAAAAGTATTGTGTGATCTTCCACATCCCCGTCCCCCTCCCCACCCCATGCTGACCCTATGAAGCATTTTGGATAGAACTTACTTCAACCTGCTCTGCAAAAGCTCCTTGCCAACCTTCTTTGCCTCAGGTTTTCCAGTGTAATGAAGAAAAAGAATAGTTCTTCACATCTTTTAAATAGCTGAGGCAAAATCTTTTAACCTCCTGGTGTCCAAGTAATTGGAAGTCATGTCTGATGGGTAAAGTATGGGCATGGCTGCAGATTGACATTTATATGATACATCAAGCCACACATTGCTTCCCAGGTTCCTTCTGCAAAGGAAGCTGGGTCTTGCATAAATAATAACAAATACTTCTTGAGCACTGTGCCAAGTGCCTTATGTGTGTCAGTTCCTCCCATGCTCAGAGCCCTTTGAGCAAGATGCCGTATGTCATGCTCATTTCACAAATGTCGTATGTGTCTCATATATGAGATGTGGTAGACCCAGGGTACAAATGACAGTCTGGTTCTGATGACCGTTTTCCTGTCCTTCAAAGCTATCAGTGACTCACAACCTTGAATGCATATTGGAATCACCTGAGGGCCTTTAAGTCCTATGTCTAGATCCCACCTCCACAGATTCTGATTTAATTGGTCTGGGATGTGGCCTGGGCATGGAATTTTTGACAGTTCCCAGGCTAATCTAATGTGAAACCAAGATGTAAGCCCATGGATTTTATTCACAAGGAAGCAGGTCCAGGAGGTTACCTGCTAGTAAGTGGCTAAGTTGAAATTTAAGTCCAGATAATCTGATTCCAAAGTCCATACTCTCAAAATAATTTGGTGTATATAAGATCTGGGGATCTTATTAAAATTAAGATTCTGATTCAACAGGTGTGAGGTAGGACCTGAGATTTCTAATAAGCTGTTTCTTGGTGCTAATCCTGGTGGTCCATGGGCCCTACATTGGATAGAAAGGGAATAAACTATACTGTCTTTCTGAGCAAACTCTGTGACAAATGTATCCTGCTGCAGTGTCTGGTACCAGTCACTCCCCTTCAAATGTTAATTCACCTCTTTAGAATCAGAGCAACATGTTTTAAACTGTTAATGTCTTCAAATTCAATTCTAGGATGTTTTAACTTTTGCCCAACTTGGACAGCAGTTCTAGCCTCCCCCCTCCCCACCTTGCTTTGAATTCCTTGAACAAAGAAACTAACTTTTGGCTTTCCTGTACTCTTGATGAAATTACACGACATCATAGCCTTCTAGGACAGAAGGGTCCAAGTAAGTAAAGATAATAATTTCTGAAATCTCTCACAACAGATGCATGTCTCAATTTCAGTAGGTGAAAGGTCACAGAACAATTGGAAAGCAGTTAATGTGAAGAATCCCCAAGCAGGGCTTCAAATAATAGTCAGAAAATCTTCCTGCTGATTTGGCTTGACAATAATGAGATGAATTCCTCACATTCTCAAAGGAAATTTATCTGCCTTCTTTCCTCTGCCAAGCCTGTTCCTGTCTTCCCTATTGGAGTTAATAGTGTCTCCATCCTTTCAGTGTCAAAACATGAGCTGCATCTTTGACTCTTTCCGCTCACTATCCAAGTTCCAGTCCAACACCGAGCCCTGTTGAGTTTCTTCTATAATCTCTTATATTTGCTACTTCCTCTTTTATCCTCTTGTCACTCTCTTGGGCTGTTTTTGTTCCCTTTGCCTGCATTATTAAAATGACTTCCTAATTGGTCTCCATCACCATCTTCCACTCCAGTCCCTCCTCCAATTTGTTTCATGTGCTGCTTCTGCTCAAAAACCTTCAGAGGCTCCCTAAAGCCTAAATCCTTCCTGGCATTCGGACACTTCATAACCTAGCGCTAGCCAAGCCCATTTTCTCCACCATTGTCTTACTTCGTATTATGTCCCCTACACTCTACAAAATGCCATTTCTTAAGAGTGCTTTCCTATTTCTAACTCTTCACTTACACTATACCCTTGTTGGGAAACAATCCTCTCCCCATCTCTGCCTCTTGGAAGTCTACCCACCTCTCAAGGCAAACACTAATGCTGACCTTTCCAGAAAGTGTCCCTTTCCAACAGTCGAAAGTGGTCTTTTCTGTGCCTTCATTCCCATGACAGTATAGTGTGATGGGTGAGCATGATGGCTCTCAAGTTCAGCTGTCTGGATTTGAATCCAGGCTCTGTCATTGAATGGCTGTGTGACCCTAGGTAAGTTACTTAGCCTTTCTGTATCATAAAGTCTTCATCTGTAAAAGGGTAGGGGGAGGCAATAATAGTACCTGCCTTCCGGGATGGCTATGGGTATTTAATGGGTTACACACATGAAATGTATCGTATAGTGTTGATAAATGGTAGCACTGTTATAACACTCTATTCAAGTAACACCTGTCATGGTCCTGGCTCTCTTGTTCTCAATGCTATGAGAGCTGGACTTCTATCTTATTTATATTTCTATATCCTAGTGATCTATAAGACCACCAGGAAATGATTAACTAAACTAAACACCAGGTTTATCGTTCCAAATAACTTTCAACTACCCTCCCTGCTACATAACTATAAACAAACAAATTCCTTATGTGTAGAAATATGAGTAACTCTTTGAGGTTAAATTGCCATATTTGTAGGTGTCAAATCCTAGTTGCAATGATTTATTCTTGTGCCCTGAAATGGATCCTGACACACCTAGGTTTTAAAAAATTGCTTCTACTATGTAACAAGTCTCAGTTTGGGGCTGTGATGTATTTATGTATCTTGATCATTTGTGATATGTGTCACAAGTAATTGGTTTAGGTAAGATATTTAAATTTGTAAATGTATTTACTTCTAAAAACTAAATTAGAACAGATTCAAGAGATTAGGGAGTAGCTAAGCAAGACACCCAAGGCTTCATATATGAAAACTCATAGATCTGGGAAACACATGAAGACTATATGGTCCCAATGGCCACACTCTTATCCTTCAAAGCCATCAGATTCTCAGCCTCGAATGTACATTGCATTACCCGGCACCTTGAAATGCTGCTGTCTGGATCCCACCCCCAAAGATTCTGATTTAGTTGGTATGGGGTCTGGCCCTTGGACATAGAGATTTTGTAATAAGTAGTACCACTCTAACTCATTTATACTCATACATGCTTTGTTCAGTGGGATAAAGAAGGGTGTAGTTGCAGCTAGAATTTTGGAAATCCATTAATTCATTAGTTAATTCATTTGATCAGCATTTATTTTGTAGCCTGCTGTGTGCTTATTGCCATTCTAGGAATGGGCAGTAAACAAGAGAGATGGGGCTCTCCTCAGGGAGCTTTCTTTCCAGTGGCAGAGACAATAAACAGGTAAATACAGAAACGAGGTGACTCCAGATTGTGGTAAATCCTGAGAAGGAGCTAAACAGGGTTAATATAATCTTGAATCACGTCAGCTGGGGGAGGGCAGCATATGTTTAAGAAGAGAGGCCATGGAAAGACTCTCAAGGAAGTGGTGTT